ATCCACCAAAACTCCCTATTAACCAGCTTGGAAGGTAAAATTATCTGAGCAAATGAAGTAGACAGGCATCTAATGAAAAATATATTGATTTTTTATTATTATAATGTATGAAATAAATATTTTAAGCTGAAGAAAAGGTCTCATTAAAAATAATGGGGGGTTTTTTCAGTTCCAGAATTAATCTGTATTTCTCCATATCGCCAAACTGCTAGGTTAGTGTGTTTCCACAAGCATCCATTAAAGACAGCCCTCGGAATGCTGAGGGACAGAGAAATTTGAGACATGCCATTAAAGGTTAAGAAATAAAGGAACAAATGACAACAAAACCATTGAGATGTCCTGAGAATTCAGTTGAACTATAAATTAAAACAATGCATCAATAATTTAGAAGATCCCAAAGTGTGCTTTACACCCGTAATGCCCTATTTTCTTCTGCCTTTCTCACCAATGTAACATTTCAGATCTGGTGTAAAGATAATGTTTTAAGAGCTACTTGTCCTTACTATGTATTGGAATTGGAATAATGCCATCAGAATTAATTGGATAATTGTTTTATACCTAAAAGTATCCTTTCTTTAGGTTAAATATATTAAATGCAATACATACAATTATTAAACCATTTAATAATTATGGTATTATGTTTTGATTTAGCAATAAATTGAGTTTATTAAAATTAATAATATATAATACTTACATTTTTAATTTAAACATGTTAAATCTAAACCTTAACTGCTTCTCAGAAGAACAGCAGATCTGCTTCAGGTTATTTTTGTGCTTAAATTAAATTAAATGGAGCAGTACAGATCCAGAAAAATCTGCATTTCTCATGATATCTTGCATTCCAGAATACTTTTCAGGTTATGTTTCCTGTTCTGCACAAACTAAGCTAAAAGCAATAATACTTTTTTAGGTATTAACTAGGATACAAAACATTAATGGTAGCATTGTTGATCCACATACTAATTGTGCATGATATGGGGTGGGGAGCAGGCATCTTTGCAATTTGTCTTATTCGTCACTGTTGCATTAGAAAGAATTGTGGGTGGCAAGTCATTTAGATTCTATATCTGATCCTGAATGAATACAGAAATCTCTGAGTTTGACTTCACTAAATATAAAGATGTATACATCAGTACAGTAATGTCAAAGTATACTGCATTCACATAAATGCTTAGCCTCAGGTGATGGAATTGGGCACATTAACAACCTTTTTTTCTCTGACTGTTGGTCCGAACTTGCATGGAGAGTAGAGGAATCCGTGAAAGAGGAATAAAGCACATTTTAAGCAGTCTTCCATTGTATCTAGCCTGTGCATTAATTTGATTAGCACTGCAACTGTCAAATACACAGTATCTCTCCTGGAAGGATGACCTTTTAATTTCCATACACATGGCTCCTATTAGCACTAATTGAGTGGAAGCATTGTACCCTAGTGAGAATAGATCTGAGGGGTGCAGACGCATGTTTTGTTTAAAGTGAACATAATCTCTAATACTATAAACCCACTTGCTTAGAGCTACTGATTAGAAATACATTTCTGGTTTATAAAGATCCTTTTATTTCTGCAGACCTCACCATGTTTGAATCTGTTTAAAGGCTGATACTTTAGATCTACATTAGTCTAGTAATGTTAACATTTGCTAGCAACAACATATGCATAGAAATTGATATTTTGCTTTCTTTCTTTCCATGTGGTGTCTTATTTAACTGAATGTTGGTATTGCTGATGACTTGTTATTCTTTATAAACAGCTGAAAGCAGAAAAATCCTGAATGAACAAGAAGTTGAAAAATGTCTTGTCACCCTTTTGGGAACAGATAATGAAGGAACAAAAATAGCTGCTTCTCAAGCCATCTCTGTTATGTGTGAGAATTTAGCTAGCAAACAAACCCTTGGAGCTCTAGGTAAATAGTTATGGTGACAATGGAATTATGATCCAGAGGAAAATATTTAACAATTTACCATGTTTCCATGGTTAATTTAAAACTGCATGTATACATTTCTCCTCTCCTAGGAATTCCCCAGCTCGTTCAGTTGCTAAGCAGCGAAAATGAAGAGGTAAAAGAAGCTGCTGCTACAGCTCTCGTTAATCTGACAACCGCCCATCTTGCCAATGTAAGGTAAGCTCAAGATGAATGGAGGATTGTTGGACACTTTAATCAGGAAATACATATTTTCCCTTTTATCCGGTTTATCCAATGGGTAGGAAATTTGGCACAGTGCTTTGTTACTTTTATTTCACTTCACATGCCATCTCTGTGCCATTTGATTAATTAAGCGTGGCTGCATGCATGGGTTTTTTTTTTCATTATTTTCTTTACTATTAATATGCAACCTTTGTATTGTGATTCTAGATAAGGTCTGGGTGTGTTTTTCTCTGGAAAATGTGTAGTCTTGCATATTTGGAAAGTTTGAAAAGCTAAGCAAGAAAAGCAAAACAGGGAACCCTAGAAATGTTTTACATTCTGCTAAAAATGGGTTACTTTGGAATCTCCCTTTTCTGTTATAACCACAAATATGTATAGATATTGTTGTTTTAACACTAACTAGAAGCTCCAGAATTTAAATGTCAAAAGTCCAATCCACATAGAGTTTAGACTCACCAAAGGGGTTTAAAGAGCATGCAGCTAAGAATATGTGCTAAAAGGAAGTGGATGGTTGGATCTAGCTGAAAACAAACTATCTAAATATAACATTTGCCCAAAGAAGAAAATGTTATTAGTATATTCTGTCATCAAGGAAATTTGGCTGCAGTGCGGATACTTATTCAATCATCAGAATTTATATTAGATATATATCAGTGTCCTCTGTGCTGAATATACTTCTGTAAATTTATCTTTGTAAAATGTGCTTGGGGAATTAAGTTCAGTCCCAACTTAGTTGTTTTTTCAAGTTGCTTAGTTGTTTTGAAGCTTCTCTAATTACACTGTGGTAAACTGTTTCACCATTCTATACAAAAGAAAGGAAGGTAGGGGGAATTTTAAGTTTCTGTTTGGTTGATTAAACATAATCAGAATTTTTGACTGGCAGTTGGAGAATTTTATCAGGAAACAACTATTGATTGGATAATCAGGATTATGTCTGGTACTTGTTTCAGATGCATTCCTTCATCTCCCTGTAACTGGCAAACATTTGTGTGCTTAAGCAGAAAATTTCATGAGAACAAGTTGTCAGCATGCAGACTCACATATGCACATTTTTCTTTTCCATTTATTTCCATTCTTCACTAAGTTTAGAAGGGCTGTGTTCACTCAGTGAGAAAACTACATGTGACTTAAATGAACAAACTCAAATGAGCAAGTAGTCAAACTTTTAAAGTATGTAAGGCAATGAAATTTGCAAAAGGTTTCTTGGTCTATTGCAAATAATAAGCAAAATGGAAAAAAGCTATTGGCTCATAGATATTCCATGAAGTGATAAAGATATAATGTATCCAGTACATTTTATGTCACAAATTATTCACTCAACTCTAATAGCCACTGACATTAATTTAACATTACTAGTTGAAATATTGTTCATTTTGTGTAGACATTATCCTATCCGCTCATCCATTCTCTGAAAAAGTGAAGTAGATAGTCTCTGATAATCCTTTCTCATAATGTCAGTTGTAGCTAGCGTTTCAGCCAGCTATGTGCCTCTAGGGCCCAGCCTTGCTAGAATTGCCCTGCTCTTCTCTACAGTTAGAAATTATTTTAAACTTGATTGATACAGCCTTTTGAGGATTCACCTATGAAAGCAACTCTCTAGAGGGTGATCCCATATAGTTTCTACTTCTTTTGTAATCAGATTTGAGAAAGGGACAAATTTGGTGCTTAGCTCCAGTGATTGCTAATTACTAGAATCTTTTTTATAGTAATTTTATTAAAGATTATAATTACAACAGTAAAAACTAATACAAACTGAAAAAATAGAAGAATAAAAAGAAAGAATAGAAAGTGCAGAAAAGAAAGGAAAAAGGGAAAAACAAAGAGAAAAGGAAGAGAAAGAAAAGAATGTAGTAAAGAAATATATAAAGAAATGACTTCCCACCTTCATCACAACAAATATAAACAATTTTAGTAATTTATTACCTTCTTTTAAAATGCAACTAATGATTTCTTCTTCCCATATCCCATCTCTTAACTGTAAACAAATCCATAAAACATCATCTTTTCAGTCCTGATGTCAGCAAAAGTCCATTAAGGATTACTAGGGATAACTATGTATCTATTTTAACCCTCATGAAATAAACCAACTTTATATTCCTTCCTTTTACTTCTAACAATCTTAATTTTTAGTCCCTTCAAATAATGTCATAAAACTTGATTTCTTTTCATTTTTTCTTCGTCCCTTCTCACAAAATTCTTCAAAACTTTAACAAGCCTCTTTCGTAAATCCAATATAGGAAAATTACCCAGGTCACTCTCTTGGTTTGTTATTTGTATATCCCTTTTCATTATTAAGGCATCAGCTGGTTTCTTTTGTATGTCCAGTGTAACATCTTTTTCCATGTCATCCTTGTAGCCTGTCATTTTTAAATCCACTTTCAACTCAGTCTCAATCTTGTCAGGTAGAACTTGTTCCTCTTCCCTAATATATTTTAGACCCAGTCTATCTATAGAGGCAGACCCTCTTAAAAATAACTTTTGGGTCCATTGTTCAAAAATATCACTCAATATGTCCAATGTTAAAATATTTTGCTTCATTCTGTATTAGTAAGTCAAATTTAAGTATTCTCCTTTAATTGTAATCTTTAGTTCCCTCTAGTTCCCTCTAGTGACCAATTTTTAAAATCTTATCTTTTTTTTTTTTAAATTCAAAACAAAAGGATTTTCCCATGGAAAGGTTTCTTTATGATTGATTCCAAAATCTTATTTCAAATTTATCTGGACCCTTAGTCAATTTGTAACTTTCTAAAATCAAAGTTTTAACCACCCTTTTGCTATTTATTCCTCCCTCCCCCCAAATTTAAGTTCTTAAACTTGTATTTAAAACTTCTTTTGCTAAGGATTAAAGGAAACTCACTTGGTGCTGTAAAACCTGTTGATCCAAAGGTTCCTAATAGCTGAAAAGCAGTTAACAAGCAATTTCCAAAAATGATTAGAAAAGGAAGTATGATTAAAGGAAACTCACTTGGTGCTGTAAAACCTGTTGATCCAAAGGTTCCTAATAGCTGAAAAGCAGTTAACAAGCAATTTCCAAAAATGATTAGAAAAGGAAGTATGCAAACTTAGTGTCCTTTCAAAGGTGCCAACTGTGGTTTGAGCAAGATGGTTATTCCCTTGTCTCCCAGAGCTTACAAGGGGCAGCTGTCTAGAGCACTTGTGGGTGATCTCAAGTCCTCTTCTTATGCGGAGAGGAATTATCAAAGAGCATTCTACTCGCCGGCTCTTCATTTCACCACAGTCGGCTCTTCATTTCACCACAGTCGTCAGCTCCATTTTTTGCAGAACCATCTTCAGTCCTCCATTTCTTTCCTGGAAGTCACTAATGACTAGAATCTTGATGTCGGGAACATGTTATCATTTTAACTCTAGGAACTTCTTTATATGTGTGTGCTCCATGACCTAAAGGATATGAAATTGTGGTAAAGCCAATTTTGTTTCCATATCTAGCACAATTTTATATGCTAATTTCTAGTGCTTGCTTTACCACGGAGGCAAAAGCAAGTTAATGTGATTAGTTTCTTTCATTCAACTGATTGAAAGCTGACATACGGACAGAAATTTTGCCAAAACATTTGAGGCTAGAATTATCTTATAATCATTTAGCACATTAGATGTAAAATGATTCTTTTTTTTTTTTGCTTGAAAATGTGTTGCTAAGAGTAAAAATGAATGAAGAGTCATAAAAGCATTCCAAATAAATAAATAAATAAATAAATTCCATTCCTTTATTAAAAAAATTAAGGCCTCTGAGTTGATCTCAACTTCTGGTGATATTATAAACTATTCATATAGTTTTTGTGGCAGCAGTATGGAAGTGGTTTGCCAGTGCTGTTTTCTGATTTCTTCTTTGGCTTCCCAGTCTCGACTATAGCCCTGAAATTCCTTGGTGGCCCTCCTCCAAGCATTAAGCAGGCCCAACCCTGCTTAGTACCAACATACTACACAGCTAAGTAAAATATAATTTCCTTATTAATCTTATTTCTAAATCTTAAATAATTGGACCACATCATATGCTTACATGCACTAAATAATATAAATTAGCATATACTGACCTAAAATCTAAAAATCACAAAATAAATGTATCCCCAGACATGCATATATGCTCCCAACTATTATGAACATAAACAACACATTTCAAAACTACCAGATTGTGGAAGGCCCAATTCATGATATCATCTTCCCTACTTTGGTGATTTTGATTAGGGAATTTTCCCGGCCAGTGGAGGTATAACATCTGCTGATGTTGCAACAATATTGTTCATTTATATAGCCTATTTCTGCTTAAGAGTATGTGCCAGAGTTTCCATTTCCAAAATGGAAGACAGGTTTTCTGAAAGATAGGAAGATAAACATGAGCTCAGCTGCTTGTCACCATCCATCCCAATTTCACTGTCACTTCTTGTGACCTGTTCAACAAGGATGGGGGAGGGGGGAGGTTCATCCATTGTCTTGTTATTGCATTTAATAAAACATTGATATATCATCTCCATCCAAAGATTCTGAGTGGCTCACAGTCAAATTCAAACAGCCTATAAAATAGAGCAAGAGCAATAAAAACAGCAGTCCATCAGAACAGTTGAAAAGTAAAATAAACAAACCTAAAACCAGACATAAAATTAGCAATAATAAGACAATACAAATAGAAATAAAGTAAACATACCAAAGATAACAGCAGCCCAACAAATGTCATTTTCAATGCACTGCCTTAGCTGCTTTCCTGAACACTAGCCAAGAGGGAGCCAGCAATAGGCCATTTCCCATCAATCTAATTAGGAAATAATCAAAATCATGCCTGGTGTTCAAAGTAGGTTCTGATCAGTGATTAAACAGGCAACACTCTCTTCTTCTGGTTTGGCATCTAATTTACAGCATTACTGCCATCTATTGGCCATTATACAGTTCTCTTCTGAAAACATGTTACTTGAGGTAATTGATGTATTCACTTCTACCGCTATGGAATACAGGTCAGACAT